TGTTTTTAAGGAAATGGAAGTGGAACAGCCTTGTATTCCAGAAGTTAAGCGGCATATGTCTGATAGCAGAAAGTCAAGATCTAGGTCAGCATCCAGGTAATTTAGAGAAAATGTCTTACCAATCCTATATGTCTTAGAAGACATATAGGTGAAAAACAAATAAGGTTATTTTAATGAATAGCACTTTATATTCATACATGGGATAAAGGAGAAACACAAATACTGATTTTAAAAAGAAAAATCTAAGGTCTGTCATCTTACCCATGTTTTCTTCAAGTTGATCTGGTGTCTATTTATATAGAATAGCATGGTATTAGAAAAAGAATATACTCAAAGTTCCTTTACAACTTTTATCAACCAACAAAAGTGAGAGAGTAAAGCCTTCTTGGGTTAAGTATTTAATTGCTGCAGAAAAGAAGACTTTCCTAATTAAAGTAGCAGTGCCTTAACCATGAAAATTTACTTCTTAAATTATAATTTAGTTTCAGAGGAACTGAAGATGATAGATACTTTTATATGCTGATAACCTTTCTTATTTAAATTATATGCATGCTCTCTATCCTCAGGCATACTAAAGATCTTTAAAATGAGTTCCTGACTAATCTTAAATATCCAAAACATTAAATTACCTAGTTGTTTTTTCCCCCTCTAACTTAATATGAGTATGTATTTTCTATTTTTTTCTCCATGTATTATCCATCCTCCTAATAAAAATATTAGGTCACCAAAAAGGAGACGATCTAGATCTGGTTCTAGATCTCGAAGGTCTCGTCATCGACGTTCCCGATCACGGTCCAGGGATAGACGCCGACATTCTCCTCGATCTCGATCCCAAGAAAGGCGTGATCGAGAAAAAGAGAGGGAACGGAGACAAAAAGGCCTGCCGCAAATCAAACCAGAAACTGCAAGTGGTAAATAACCCTTCATATTCAAACTTCCTGTATTATTTTTTATATGGTTGGTTTAATATGTTTTATAACCGTGAGCAGAGCCATAAATGAAATATTATCACTATGTTGTTTTATTCCAAATATTGCTTTCTTGTGTCTTGTTTGAATTTAACCATTTACAGGATATATTAACTTGCATAATTACATGAATCTCATCAGATATCTTTAGAATGTTTAATAAGGTATGCTATATTCTTGTTATAAATCAGTAACTATTATAAAGATTTTAATTCATAGTAATTTCTGGGGCATATAAAATTTCTGACTCTATAAAGCTTATTGCCTAGAATACAGCATAAAAGAAAAAGTGTAGACACCCAAGAGTTGGGAAAGGATATCTCCATGTAGTGAATAAAACACTGAGTTAGTTTTTATGTTAGTTTTAAATGAAGAGACTCAAGTCCTGGTTCTACTGTTTATTGGCAAGGTGACTGGGCAAATTATTGCTTCTTTGACCTCAGACTTCATTGAGATCTTTGGTCTAAGTACAAAAAGACCAGTTTTTCTAACTCTTAAGTATGCCTTTAACTATTCTGGTTCCATTTCTAGAAGTGCTAATACAATTTTCTAAATTTAAAAAATTTTGTATAGGAATTTTCTGTGTTAAACTTTAGGTATCATAGATGTGCTCATATATTTTATGTAACTTTTTAAAAATGTAACATGAAGTTTACTTATTAAATGTGAATATTTTTACAGTCATTCTTTTATTTTCAGTTTGCAGTACTACACTCTGGGTGGGACAGCTGGACAAAAGGACTACTCAACAGGACGTTGCCAGTCTATTGGAAGAGTTTGGTCCCATTGAATCAATTAATGTGAGTATTTATTTAATTATTTAATGAAAGTGGAGCAGATGTGAGTAATATCATTTTTCGAAATTAAGGACTTGAGATTTGAGTTATAATTTCCATAGACTTGTAGAAGTCTATGGACTTGTGGCTACATGTTTAGGTGTTCTGAGTCTGTGCTCAGCACTCTGTATTTAATATTTCTTAGACTGTGAAGTTTAATTTTAAAATTTTTGCTATGAAAGTCTACTTATGGCAAGTGACTTTGGCCATAGTTTATTCTGCATTGGCTGTTGGGTTGAGGAGTAGGACTGTTGAACCTGGTTATTATATCTTGTTTTCTTTTTTTTTTGGTAATAAAATGTTTTGGAGCAGATGATTCCTCCCAGGGGCTGTGCCTATATTGTTATGGTTCATAGGCAAGATGCTTATCGTGCCCTGCAGAAACTGAGCCGTGGAAACTATAAAGTAAATCAAAAATCCATAAAGGTAAAGTTTTATAATTATTTTTTATTTTAATGTGGAATTAATATGTTGCTTTTTAAAAACTAATTTGGGCTTAGTTATGACTTGAGGCATTTCAGATATATCCTTTTAAAATTCTTTTTTTTTTTTTTATTTTTTTTTTTAAAGAGAGAGAGAGGAGAGAGAGAGAGAGAGAGAATTTTTAATATTCATTTTTTAGTTCTCAGCGAACACAACATCTTTGTTGGTATGTGGTGCTGAGGATCGAACCCGGGCCGCACGCATGCCAGGCGAGCGCGCTACCGCTTGAGCCACATCCCCAGCCCCTTTTAAAATTCTTAACAAAACCTATAATGTTTATTAAAACACAATTTTAAATGTTCAGTGAATAGTAGAAATTGAAGGGAGGTGCTGGGTGTAGAACCCAGGGCCTCACAGAAGTATAGCTGTAGACTATCCCCTTGTTTAAGATAGATAGTATCATCAAATATAATTGATTGATGCCTTAAATAAAATGTGTTTTAGCATATTTTTTGAGATTTATTACTATCTCAAAATGAACTGTGAAAAATGATTGTTAATGATATAGAAAATGATTCCGGTACAAAGCCTTTCATATCCTCCCCACCTCCCATCCCGAGAAATCAAAGACATTGTTTCATCAATGTCCTCTAACGTTTTTATTTGTTTCAATTTGTTTTGCTTTTCAGTACTGGGCATAGACCCAGTTCGCTCTACCACTGACCTGCATCCCCACCACTTTTATTTTTTTAGACAGGATTGTTCTAAGTTGCCCAGGCTGGCCTGGCACTTATGAGTCCTCCTTTGTCATCCTCCTGGATTACAGACGTGTCCATTCTATCTGGCTCCTAAAGTCCTGTTTTAGTTTTATTATTAAAAAGATTTTTTGTCTAATGTTGATTAATTGCCAGGATTCCATAGACTTTCAAAAATGACACCCAGCATGCCAGGCTATATAGGAAACTTTCAGTCTCTCTAATGAACTTATTTTCTATGAGCTTTACAATGGCTGGGCTGGGTAGTTAGGGTCAGGGTGAGGGTTGATAAGGGAGCAGTTGCCATTGAAATTTTCAGCTGAGGACAAAATGAAGGTATAGCCAGTTCATGTTGAGAGTAAAAGTCTGAGATCCAGAAATAACTAGTGCCAATGTTCCTTTACTTCCTACATCCAAATGAGTAGCATGATGAGTAGTGAACTCTTTAAGACTTATAGTGTCCTTTTCCCTTCATATTTTCACTAATGGTGAAATAGATTGCCTGGGCCTTAAACAAAGGAATAAAAGCAGATTACAAGCAGTATTGGGATGTAGAACTTGGCGTTACCTATATTCCATGGGACAAAGTCAAGCCTGAGGAACTGGAGAGTTTTTGTGAAGGAGGAATGTTGGACAGTGATACACTTAACCCAGGTAAAACTGTCATTTCTTTTACAGTTCATTTATTCGCTTGGAAGTGTGTTTGTTTAATAAAATATCTGGTTTGTTCTTTATAAGAAAAAATTCTAGAGATTTAACACCAACACAAGGCTCAAAAAGTTTTGAATTTGGGAGGATTACACATTTAAGGTTTTTGAATTAGAGATGGTCCTGCCTGTAAAATCTGCAAATATTCTGAAACATTTCTAGTCCCAGGCATTTTGGATAAGGGGTACTCAACTTGTACTCTACTTTAATGCAGTGCTTCATCATAATTTCTTTGGAAATTTTTAAATGTTCAGAGAAGCAATGAAAAGAAAATGTGTAAGACTAGGAGGTTCAGTTACCTCTGGTTATTAATATTACAGATGCCAGATTGACAGTAAGGTTGCAGTGGGGAAAAATAGAAAAATATATAGGCATGACCAATAGATTAATAGATAACAGGAACAAAGGCATAAAGTGGCTTGGAAAATAGAATGAGCATTCAAAGTAATCTTGAAGTAGGAGTGATGTTTGAGAGCCAGAATTGAGTAAAAAAAAAAAGTGCTATACTATTCCCAAACGCCACCTTATCCTTCCATGATGCATGGTGCCTTCACTTAAGGATAGAGCTTGGTTTCTGTTCAGGCAGTCAGACCTACTATCTTCCAGGTATCTGGGAGACTCTGAACCAAAACTAAAAAGGCTGGGGAAGTGGTAGTCCTGAAGCTCATACACAGTGGAGTGGGGGGCGTTCCTTTAAAAGAAGGAGAATCTCTGATGGATTAGTGTTCTAGAGGACAGAATGGAAAGATACTTACCTATTTTTCATTTGACTAGAAGGTATGTGGAAACATGTGAGAGGATATCCGAGTTATTCTTTAATATTAGAGAAAGTTTATTTAGTACACTCCTGTGGTTAAAAACAGACTCTAGAGCAGGGTATGTCTGGGATGAATCCCCTACCACTTACTAGGAACGCGACTTTGGGTAAATTGTCTTGGCTTTCCTCATTTGTAAAATGGGAATATAATAGTAATCTACTTTAGATAGCTGTGAAAATGTTAGTATACATAAGTGTTTAGGATGTGGCTAGCACACTGTAAGCACTTTTTTCCATGTTTTTTATTGTTCCTTAATTTAAATAATTTATTGTTTATCAAATTCACATAGGAATTTCTGTATTAATTTGGCTCCGAGTTTTATAATCTCATTGTTACATTTCTTTAAATTTTATAGATTGGAAAGGAATTCCCAAGAAGCCTGAAAATGAAGTTGCTCAAAATGGAGGTGCAGAAAGCTCACATACAGAACCAGTATCACCCATACCTAAACCTTTACCTGTGCCTGTACCTCCTATTCCTGTTCCTGCACCTATAACAGTGCCACCTCCACAGGTGAGAATATTTGGGACATAGTTTAAACCTTTATAGATCTTATTGTAGTCGTATGTCTAGATTCAGTCAGAACCACAAGTACATACATATGCATATTTTTTATATTTTGGCATATCATGTCATTTATAATCTCTATAACACTTTCTTTTCATAAATATATTGCTTTACCATCGGTTTAGATTGTTCACTGTCTTAAAATATTCTAGACATTAATTCTAATTATTAGTTTTGTAGGTACATACTCTTTTTTTCTTATGGGTCCTTTATTCTTCAAAATATTATTTTCTGAAGGAATTTGGATATGCACCCAGTACAGCTGCTTTGAGGGAAGGGGAGCCTCTTAATCTTCAGTTTCAATGGTGCCATCATGAATTTTTTTTTAACAGATATTGAAAGCTAGTTAATAAGCTGAGTGTCAATTAACATAATGAGAGGTATATTATTAGAAAAAAAAACCTTTGCTATGTAGTTAATTCACCTGGTGCTTCAAAAGAAAAAATGCACATTCTGATAGAATTGCGTTTGAGTTCCAGCTCCATTGTTTGTACTTAGCAATGTGGCTTTGAGCAAAGCACCTAACTTTCCCAAGCTTTGGCTTTGTGTTCCTCTTAGGTCAGAGTTGTTTTGAGGAATAAATGAGACAATGTGTGTTAAGCACTCAGCATATTTCCTAGCATATAATAATAATAATGAGAAAACATTCATATAATAATAATAATGAGAAAACATTTGGGTGAAATTTATAAATACTTGATCCATAGTTCTGAATCAGATAAATCTGATCTGTCACAAAAATAGGTTATCTGGTCTCTTGATTTTCTCTCAATGTAAGGGGAAAATTACATGTTTTGATATATAAACAGTAGCTGGCATTTGTTGGCTATTTAGTATAAAGTGTCAGGTACCAGTAATTAATGTGTATTTACTCAGTACCATAATTATGTGATATTGGCACATATCCCTTTTTTTCATATTGGGATTTGAACTCTGAGGTACTTGAACACTAAACCATTTCCCCATCACCTGATATTGTATTTTATTTAGAGACAGGGTCTCACTGAGTTGATTAGTGCCTCGATTTTGCCGCGGCTAGTTTTGAACTCACAATCCTGTCTCAGCCTCCCAAGCCGCTGGGATTACAGGCATGTATATACCACCATGCCCGGCTGGCATGTTTCCATTTTAGAAAGTTTAAATAGCTTGCTTCCCCCACATGTAGCCACCTAAGAAGAGAGTAGAGACAACTTAGCTCCAGGATTTGTGTTCTTAGCCACTAGGTGATTGCTAAGTAGCACTTCTTAGAGCTAGAGTTCCCAAAATTCATTGAACTTTGAAACATTTTTAAAGGTATCATTTGCTTTCAGAGCACCAGTGGATGCTGATGAAATAGAGTGTGAATTTGCATTCCTGAAGGAGAAAACAAAACTTCCCTTTTCTCTCATTTGATTTATCTTTATGTCATATTTATTTAATTGTATCACAAGTTATATCTTATAACTAATTTATTGATAGAGTAAGCACAAATTTAGAAACATTTAGTTTTCCAGCAATAAAATATTTATTTCATCTAAATATACTGTGTGAGGGCAGTTAGGTGGATAATTCCATTTTTATTTTTGTTTCTTTCTAGGTCCCACCACATCAGCCGGGTCCTCCTGTAGTTGGTGCTCTCCAGCCACCCACATTCACACCTCCTTTGGGAATTCCCCCTCCAGGTTTTGGTCCTGGTGTTCCTCCACCACCTCCTCCACCACCATTTTTGCGCCCAGGATTCAATCCAATGCATCTACCACCAGGTACACTAAGTTGTTTGAAAAGACATTCTTTTAGAATCTGAAATGAAGTGATACAAAAATTGACATTATTTTTCTTACTTTAGGTTTTCTTCCTCCTGGACCCCCACCTCCTATAACTCCACCAGTATCCATTCCTCCTCCTCACACTCCACCAATAAGCATCCCAAACTGTAAGCATGTTTTTCCATTGTGTTTACTTGACCTTTTCAAGCTGGGGGTAGAAGGGAGAATGAACCAGTAATAGGATCTATAGTGTGGCAGAAGAATGTTGACCAGGAAGATAATTAATTATTCAGCTTCACATGTTGATGTAATTATATTCCTTAGCTACTATCGCTGGTATAAATGAAGACACTACAAAAGACTTATCTATTGGAAATCCCATTCCAACAGTGGTGTCTGGGGCTAGAGGAAATGCCGAGTCTGGTGACAGTGTGAAAATGTATGGCTCTGCTGTGCCACCTGCTGCACCCACGAATCTGCCTACCCCTCCTGTAACCCAGCCTGTTTCACTTCTTGGTAAGTTAATTTTTTTTTTATCACTAGTTTCCCCACCCAAGTTAGGTATCTTAAAAATAACGTTAATTTTGGAGAAGTGGTCTCTTAGGCTAGTTTTCTTTGAGGAAAATCTTCTTAAATCAAATGTGTGTTTATAAGAAACCTCAAAGGTGGCATCATGCTTATTTGTCTTGAATAAATGTTTGGATTTCCACATCTTAGTTTGGTACAAAAAATGATTAATCTCCTATGTAAAAGAAATTGTTACAGAATTCTTGATTAACATACCTTCTTACTCTTCCAGTTTCAGAAAAATATTTCTTTGATGATATAGGTTTTTCTTTGTCTGGATCAGTTTTTATCCATCTGAAACCTCTGAACTTTGATAGCATTTTTTGTAGGATGGCAAATCATCTTTGCTACATTGCAATAAAATGACTGGTTTCTGAGTAATAGTTTCAGCTCCTGAGGAACCACTTTCCCTCTGACTCCTCAGTTTTCTCCTGATGGAGTTTATATTCTTTATCTACAACCTCACTACTGCAATTAAGAAAGGTATGACTTAATTTTTTTACATCTTTAGGAGGGCTTAGTCTGGCTGGCTTAAATTATAAAAATATGTCACAGTTAATTTTAGTAGAGCATCTTTAAATTAATATATTTTTATATTTGAAGTAGTTATTGCCAAGTATAACTAACATTTTATTCTCCTAATGGGAAGATAATGCTTACTTCCTGAAAGTTATAGTATTCTAGAACTGTGAGCCCACTATGTTTGTAGAGGTGTGTGTGTACACATTTGCTTTTATCATCTTAGTTTTTTTTTTTTTTTTTAAGGGAAAAACCATTGGTTACCTCTGAAATAGGTGTAGGAACTATGGGACATCAGTTTATGATGAAGGATTTTTATGCTTTCACTTATTCCTTTGATATTTTTGTAAATTTTGATGATATAAATATACATATACACACACAGATGTATATACACACACATTTATACTACAAGCCAATGGCATTCTGTGTATTCTGGCCTCTTCAAGACTGAGCTCAGGCCCACAGTCAACTTGATTTTTTATTTCCCTTAGGATACAGATTGGGAAATAATAAAAGACGATTTGAAACTAAAATTTATCACAAGTAATTTAGCAGTATTTATCATAATGATGGAAAGTGATTTGTTTTAATAAGAAGGTTGCTTAAGAGATCTACATTGTAATGAAAATTGTAGTAGAAGCAACATCACACAGGAACCAAAGAACCTTAACATCTTTGTGGCTTGTTGTCATGCTTAAAAATATATATGTATTTTAGTTGTAGTTAGACACAATACCTTTATTTTACTTATTTATTTTTATGTGGTACTGAGGAACAAACCCAGGCCCTCGAACATGCTAGGCAAAAGCTCTACTGCTGAGCCAGAACCCAAGCCCTAATGCCTTTTTTTTTTTTCTTTTTTTATATTTTTAAGATGGTTGCACCAGGGTCACAGAATCTGAATCATAGAATTTTCTGATCAACCCCCTTCTCTCCATATTTTCTCTACCTACATACACCTTCAGTTATGAATTCATTTTGAAATGAAATTTTGTCTGTGGTCACTCTGGACTGTTGACAAAATTATGTGCATTTGTGTTTTTCTCTGGGCTTAGTAAATTCATTGAATGAGGGGAAAGATTTCATGATCTCCAAGAGTTTAATAATTACTGCTTTCAAACAATACTGAAGAGTAAGTACTTGCCTCTGATTTAACAATAGATCTTGAAAACCTATTTATTTATTTACTTACTTTGGTACTGGGGATTAAACCCAGGGACATTTAACCACTGAGCCACAACCCGAGTCCTTTTTTGTATTTTATTTAGAGACAAGGTTTCACTGAATTGCTCAGGCCCTTGCTGAGTTGCTGAGGCTGGCTTTGAACTCATGAACCTGCCTCAGCTTCCTGAGCCACTGGGATTACAGGTGTGCACCACTGTACCCAGGCTGGCCCTTTTTTCCTTACCACTACTGAACAGACAGTTTAGCCTCTGCATCCAACATGTGAAACAAAATATAACACAGAAAAAAAAAAGCTAGTAAACTTGAAAAGTAAACTTAGTTTTACATTATGGTAAAACCTAACTTTTACATTATGGTAAAAGCAGGCTTTTTGGAGAAGGGACATGGATTTTTCTGCTGAATAGCTATCATTTATACTCATTCTAAGGCTTCTGGCATAATACTATTTCCTCATTACCACCTATTGTTCTCTTGCCCACTGGTTGCCATCTTCACAGAGTCATCTGTTATAAGATTCATAAAAGGATTACATTCCCACAGTATTTCTTGAATGTGTCTACCAATATTTAATGATAAATTCTTGTCCATCCCCCCCTTTTTTTTTTACTTGAAAAGGTAAGCTTTACTCATGGTGTATACTTGGCAGGTTCAAAACTGCTTTTTCAAAATAAGATTCTTGTCTGCAAATAAAGAAGGAGTGGTTAAAACAGACTAACCATAGTCCCATCATTTTGATGAAGGAATGCAGTAATCCCATTGCAGTATTGCAGTACTAAAGGATCAGTGATTTCAGTAGAGGTATTACTGGTGTGCTCCAGGTGTGGAGTATTGGAGCTGATGCTTCTGGTTTTCTCTTGGTGCTCTAATGTTTTCTTTTAAGTTCATAAAAGGAAATGCTGTGCTGACCAGAAAACTTGTAAGCCTAGAAGTTGACACTGAACTCTCATTTCCTCACCTGTAAAGGGGAGTAAAAGTGACATTGACACACCAAGGTGTCATAATTATTGGGGGTAAAACATCCGCCACAGGGTAGGCATTTAGTAAACAGTGGGTGTTATTACAGGTAAGAAATGATGTTTAGAACACTTAGGGAATATTTATACTTTGAAATCCTAAAATTCCTTTGGTTGTAATTCTTTGTTGGCAAACAGGAAAATAACTTATTAGGAGGAAGTATATCTTGACATAGTTGCCTCAGATATTTTCAAGGTAGATTAGACCACATCTTAAGTTCACACACTAAAAATTCCTTTATTTGGCTTACTGAGAAAATGTGTGTGTTAAATCATCGTGGTGTTCATTTAAATAGCATAACTTGCTATCTAAATTGGTTCCATTGATGATATCCAATAGTTATCTTATAATGGAAGATAAATGTGTCATTGAGACTTAACTGAGCTCTTAGATCATAATTTCTAAAATATGCCAATAAAGTAGCAGGGGCCAAACAAATGTTCAAGATATCTCCAAACAGTCTGTTTTGAGGCTTGATTATAATGGGAGGAGGCATTAGGATGCCTTAAGGATAATTTGGTTTAAGAATTTTCTGTATTATCAGACTTCAGTGTGGGCATTAGTTTGGAGTGACTGCCGGTCTCTGGATCTAGGCTGAGGTAGTTCGCCTGACCCCTGCTACTAGATATGAAGAGAATTAAATTCCCATCATTAGACATGATTCTTTTGGTGATACTGGAAATAGAAAAATACCAGATATACAATAATAATTTATTGCTAATTGATTTTAAAGAAATCTGTACTTAATAGCTCACAAGCCAAAGTAGTTACTAGCACAGGGCTGGTTTCATAAAAGCTAAAGATAACATTGTGCAGTTGTTGGTCATTTAGGAGAGGAGAAAAATTAAAGATCACAGCAATTCAGTTCATTCTCTTGACTGTATCTGTGTTTACTTTTCTCAAAAACTTTTGTATAATAATGTATCTCTAACATGATGTACAGCATATTTTTATTAAAAAGTTCATTGTAAATGTGAAGTTTGGGTTACTTTGGTGTTCCAAACAATAAAAAAAATACACACAAAAAAAATGTTTGTTTGTGTTACCTATCTCTACCGTGTTACCAGGCTATCCAGAATGTTTTCAAGCAAAAACTAATGTCGGTTGAATTCATTCCTTTGTGGATAATTAAAGCCTTTTGTCAAATACAGTAATCATTAATATAAAGAGACCTCTCACCATTTTTGTTGCACTACTGCAAATGATGGTAAAGTAAGAATTGAGTATTTGTAAGATCCTTTTTTACTTATAACTTTTGTAGCCAGAGGTTTTAAAGAGTCACAAATTATTGGCCTATTAGGCTGAACTGCTAGGCAAGTGTTGTGATAAACTCATTCCCTGTGTAGCCTCAGTAGATATTTGACTTTATTCTAAACTTGGGCACCTTGAGAAATATGGAGACAAAATTGATTTGTGAATTATTAAACACTTGTGTTTGCTTTTGTGCAATAGTTATAATCCCTAAAACTGCCTAGGAGGCAAATGATTTTACCAGCCATTTCAGAAATTCCTTTAAGATAGGTATTTAATTGATGATGATTTCACTTAGCTTTGGATTTCTTTGCCTAGTCTCTAAAATTTTGAGGTTTTTTTTAGAGCTAGTAATTTTTAACAACATTTAAATTAGAACATTAGAGCACCAATCTTTTAGTAATGTATTAAGTCATTAACGATGAAAGAAAACCTGGAGAAGATTCTAGAAATTAGGAGTTTTAAAAACATAATACAGCCTAATTTTAAAGAACAGTTTTTGCACTTTAATATTTATTTTGAACTTTAGTGTATGATTTGATTACGTTAAATTATAAGGCAGAAAGTATGATAGATACTTGATTTGGTACCCCCAAAATCTAATGACTTCATCCTGTTCTTCATGAGCCTTTAAACATTTATTTTATTTTTATGTGATGCTGAGGATAGAACCCAGGGCTCACACGTGCTAGGTGAGTACTCTACCACTGAGCCACAACCCCAGCCTCAGGAGATTTAAAATATTTGAATTGGTATTTCACTTGTGTTACACAGAATAGAAATAGTTCTTAAATATGCATTACAATGTCCTCAACTTAGTATATGACATTATTCCGTGCATAAAGTAGTGATTTTTCCACAACAAATATTGAACTTGGAATATGAATTTATGCATGAATATACACTATATATTCTCCAAGAAGACTCAGCACTTCAAGCAAAACACGAGTAGTCATGTGCAAAAAATCCAGAGCACT